GAGAGAGAAACATCAATGTGCGGTTGCTGGGGGTTATGGCCTGCAACCCAGGAATGTACCCTGGCTGGGAATCTAAATCTTTAACTTCTTAATTCCTAAAGAAGCTTTGAACATTTGTGAAAAGGGAACCTTCAGTTAGATGAGTCAGTGATAGCTTTTACCTAAATATTATATTTTGATAGTTAAAATACAGAAATGAGAGAATCATTCAATTGAAATTTTTTTAAAGATTTTATTTATTTATTTTTAGAGAGGGACTGGAGGGAGATAGAGAGAGAGAGAGAAACATCAATGTGCAGTTGCTGGGGGTCATGGCCTGCAACCCAGGCATGTGCCCTGACTGGGAATCGAACCTGTGACACTTTGGTTCGCAGCCCGCGCTCAATCCACTGAGCAACACCAGCCAGGGCTGAATTTTTAAATATTCTGGAAATTATAGGCAAATGCCAAAAAATTTAAACAAAATTGCCATTGATATTTTAAATAGTATCAAAAGTGAATTGAGAAGCATAGAAGAATTTACATTTGATACAGGGCTCTAAGATGAAATTCTAAGAAACACTGCTTTAAAAAATATCCTACTTAGTTCTACCTTGGGCACCCTAGGAAACGGAAACGAGCATGAGGCCTGCTCCCACTGCACTCTCAGGGAGTGAAACCAGTGCCCCCGACAGGGGTGCAATGGGAACGCAGCCCCATGTGTGTGCTGAGCGGAACGAGGCTGTGGAAAGGTGGGTTGTGCTGAGCATGATCTGCAGAGTCTCTTAGACATTTTAGAAGTTTGTCATAGAAATAAAGGATAGTCCTTGCCCACAAAAGCAGGGTCAAGTATTAGTTTAGCAAACCAGCAAGTACCACCAGCAGGCCTGGCCCGTACAAAGGGCCTGAAGGCTTTGATTCACAACACAAATCACCATTCTTGGCACTGGGAATACAGCTGTGAACAAGGTTCAAACTGTATTGAATAACTGACAGTCTGTTCGCAATTAAGTAAACAGGCAATTACAGAATGGTGAGCGCTGATGAAAGAAAACAAAATGAGGTTGGTGAGAGAGGAAGATCCCATTGTTAGAGGGTTTTAAGGGTCAGGCTGAGGTATTTCAGTCTCATACAATACCTGATAGTTCTCGCTCAAAGGAATGCTATAAAAGAAAAGAAATGCTATAAAAGAAATGTGTAAGGGCATTATTTTGGAGCCCTTGAAGGATAAGAAGGAGAAACAGTACAGGTGTAGAGCAGTTCGGGCACCCACACCAATCTGGGGCTGAGTGCTAAGTTCCTAAATTTGGGAAACTTGGAAGTTGGCAGGAGTGGTTTAAAGAATTCCCAGTGGAAAAGATAGCTGTTTTTATTACATAAGCACAAATAATGTAAATGCATTTCAGTCAGAAGTGAATTATTAATATTGGAATTCTAGTTTGAGTTTCTTACCATGTGTCTGAAAATCAGTACCTCTGTTGCATTTCCCATTAATCTTAGTTGCTGTCATATCTTACTTTATTTCACAACTGTGTGAAAACATTAAAACTGGTTGTCAAATTAGTGAGGTTAGTCAAGGTCCAGGTCCTTCTCAAAGAATCTCTTATTTACTTTTGTTTGTAATCTCACACAGTCTCATAACAACCACAAAAAAAAAATCCTTCCCTATCAAACACAACCTTTATGAAAATGGTAACCCTCCATATTTCTATAATACACTGAAGTTAGTGCTCTTACTGACGATCTGAGTTCATGTAAAACTTTTTATTAGTAAGATCTAATTTTTATCTTCGCCTTCAAGTAAACAAGTTCTAAAATTTTCATATGTAAATGACCATCGTGTACTTAATTCTTACTGCTCTTTTCGGGCCGATTCCATGACCAGCCACAGAGTGGATAGCATTGAGTTATTGGTACGTACAAAACTGTAAACTACCAGACCCTTGTGTACGCAAATTAAGTCTGTGGTGCAAGTCTGCATGTGCATTCTCACAGGAGACTATAAAATGTAGGCATGCTTTCAATTCACGCAGTCTGTGATTTGCTGTGATTTGCTGAGAGGCACACAGGTCAGGAGTTTATTATGCTGAAAATCATAATAACTGTTTTGTTTGCCTTTGAAAATGAAGTGATTGAAGCATGTTGAAAGATAAATGGGTGAAACATTTTTGATTATGCTTTTATTTCTATTAAAGATTAAATATTATTGCTGAGTAACCAGCCATGCTAAGTATTATGATATTAAAGCTGAAGTAGTTTGTAAGCTGATAGCCCCTTCTTTCCTCTGGGCTTAGGTTTGTTATTAATCAAAATGTTGGACTTGTTTAATGCAGTGGTGTATGAAACAAACAGTTGAAAAAGACAGCTACTTTAATTTACAGGGGTTGGTTGTTTGTTTGTTTTTTTTCAAATTTGTAGGCAAATCTATTTCTTTCTCTGGACTGTGTGCTGTGGTTCCTGTTTCTAGATGTCATTTCTTATATCAGAGCCAACTCAAGCCAATAGTTGCACAATTGTCTCCTAGCACAAAAAGAAGGTGTCTTTTTATGGTTTTAATTGACAAATTCTGGTAAAGTCATTTTAAACATGGACAGTCCCTACTAGAAATGGGTATTTCACAAAACCCATCTGTATTTTGGGGCAGAAAATTTTTTTAAATAGAAGAATGCATGTATGGACAGGTATTAATAGTTAACTAAGATAGTGGGGTTTTTTTGGACATCAACATAGGAATATTAAATAAAATCTTTTAAAGGGCATATGATGGCAGCTACTTCCCACTTGGGCTCGGGCGGCTGCACAGTCATTTGGAAAGCTGCTGGGCACGCACTGAAATGCAGTATGGAGCTGGGCTCCCCATCATGTGCGACAAAGGACCTGTAACGGGACAGCCTCACCGTTCTTCCAAACTCGGTCCTCAACAGTGGCATACACTTACAGTTTCTAAAAAGTGCATTTTGTGGGGAATGCAACAGATTCTAAGAGGTGTCCAAGGAAAAGACCATCTCTTAGTATCTGAAACAAAAGGCTAAGTTCAATGCTTCCTGAAGTAAGGAAGAGCTATGCTTTTAGACACAGTCTCTCCAAACAAAGCAGGTTGCAAATCTTTATACAGATTTTGGGGTTAGGGGTTGTTTCGGGGTGGACATCAGCCTCAGAAGCTCATTATTCAGGAGAGACTGTCAGTGACTGGCTGGCTTTCAGAAGCATTTTCACTGGAGTGAGTCTGCCACTGATTGGCCAGGTCTCAAAAGCAGAAGGCTGTCACTGATTAGTTGGCTTTCAGAGGTGTGTTTACTGAAGTGAGTTATCACTGATCATTTAGGCCAGGGCTGTGGGGGGCGGGGGGGGGGGGTCATCATTAATTGATTAAACCCAGTGTGACTGTTTCAGATCGGCTGTAGTGGTCACTTGTTATCATGGCTGTAGAACAACCAGCCTTTGCCTAGGAGTTGGAGGTGGTTTTATTCTCAGAAGCTAATACTTAAACACTGTAGGAAATCGAATGCACAAGAAAATCAGACTCTGAGGAATCCATCTGAATAAGCAATGATCCTATGATACATTTTCTAAGTAAGGGTGTTTACTAAAGCAACAGGAAGTATTGAAAATCAAGAGTTCTCACATGTGAGATTCTATTTTCATATATTATTGAGATCGGTTACGAATTTGATACAAATAATGTATTTTTAATAATAAACTATAGAAATGTGAATGTGATTTACCTCATGTAGTAAATAAAATAGACTCTAGATCATCCGTATAATAATATCACTCGTACTCACTGCATTCCAGTCAGCTTTGTCTGGGATGGAAAGAGCTGGGAATGAAAGTAAGACTCAACCTGTCAGCCCTGGTGAACTGTATCTACTGAACCCTTAGTAATTATAGTATCACTAATGTTGTTACATCTTACTTCCCTCCCAAAATCTTTTTAGGATTCTTTAAAATCTGAATATACCCTTGGTAGTTGGTCATATAACTAAACTTCACTCAGCATTTGTGCTACTGCAGGGAAAAAGAAACTACTGTAATATTTCAGTTTTGTCTGAAAGTTATAACTGGTGTATGTAGAGTGTTAATCCTATAGGCAATTCACCCTATCTGCTCTGATAAAGGACAGTGCTATGTACGCTTGCTTTAAAAATTGCTTACATAACCAGTGGGAAAGCTTTAGTAGTTTTGTTTATGTATAAAAACTGAACTTTTCCTCTTTCCAGATTCATTCAACAGCTCTGTAACCTGGTCTTTTGATTCCCCCATTTATTCCTGATACCTCCTAATGGGGACAGAGCCAATCACATACATATTTCCTTGCTGCTAAGGATTGCCAGCTTATGACCACTTATGAGTCAAGCACATGTTGATACCTTAAGACCAGTAAGCATTTGATAAAGTGGGAGAGCAGCGTGGTTAGATTTGGTGTAATCAACAGGAGGAGGAAATTAGTCCGAGGAGCTATGCCAAAAGCTTACTTTCCTTTTGTATGAAAAACATATATATTTGACTCAGCAACTCCACAGAAAAGGGTGTCAATACCATTGGAACAAGAATTTTCTTAACACATTACCTACTCTTGACCCATTTAACTACTCAAAACAAAGAAAATCAGATAGAGCTGGTTTATTGCCAGGAGTTGTGCTCTGCAGCTTGGCTCACTCTGCCTAAGAGAGTGCACTCCTCAAAGGAAGCCGGCAGAATGTTCTCTGGGTTTAGTCTAAGGCGTGCTTCTGTGTAGAGCTCTTTTAACCTCCTATCAGGGAAGGAAGCGCAAGCGAAAACTGAGGCAAAGAAACTCACAACTAGAAATACAAGCCAACAGAACAACCTACAGACGTCTTTCAACTTCAAGTATTTTCTGAGAAGTTGGTTTCCATGCTGTACAAGCACCAGTGAACAATAACCCATCTTGCTGTTTTGTCCCCTTAGAGTTCATTATGCCACGGCGAGTGTAGGACAGAATTTCCACTCAGTGTCCACACCCAAATCACTGAACTCTCTCTCTCTCTCTCCCTCTTTAGGATGTCACATGTACTTCAGTTTGAGGATAAAAGCAGAAAGGTGAAAGATGCAAGCATGCAAGACTCAGACACGTTTGAAATCTATGATCCTCGGAATCCAGTGAATAAAAGAAGAAGGGAGGAAAGCAAAAAGCTGATGAGAGAGAAAAAAGAAAGAAGATAGAACTGACAGCACTGGTAGCCGGCACTCGTTGAAAGTGTGCCTGCAGTAAATGGCCTGATACCAGCCCTTGTTCCCAGAGGTATCGCTACAGGCATGGAAAGCAGTATTTTTGAACCTGTTGTCCGGTTTTGAAAATCGACTGTCTTGTTATGTAAATTGGGGACTGACATAAACAAATGCTTTTGGTTACTGGTACAGTTTTATTCCTTATTTACCTTTTCTATTGCCAAATGTGAAATAAAATGCACTTTCCTTCCAGTTTTTATGTTCACATTTTCAGACTTTGCAAGCCTATTTGTGTTTTTTTTTACCCTAAACTATGTGAAGACTTCATTTTCGATATTTTTTATAAGTTCTTGCCGAAAGAATATTTGAGGAAAACCTCCCTGGCATTCTGTTACCATAGTACTAACTTTGGAATATAATTTTCTTAAAAATCTATAATATAAAGATTGATTTTTTTTTGTTTAGTGTATACACATCTAAAAACAGCCAAGTCAGGAAGACTTAATAGCCCCATGCCTTACATCGCGAGAACCCTCAAGTGAATGTTCACACCTGCGCGTGGGTCAACGCCTGGGTTTCATTGGTGCAGACAAGACACACCAGTGGCAGCCACACTCCCTGTGCACCCTGGCCTGGCACAGGGCCCCCGCCCCCGCCCTCACCCTCGCCCTCCCCAGCACAGCAACGGCCAGACTGCCGCAGAGGCCCCAGCTGGCAGCGCCTCTCCCTGAGAATTTAGCCTGTGATGGCAATCGCTCATACTGGTTATTTACTACATATTATCTATATTGAGTCAGGTTTTTTTCCTAGAATCTGAATGCTAAAATTATACTGCAAGCTAACTTTCAGTTACCTCAAAAAACCTCACCAGCCACAACTTTTCAGATAGTGCCCCATCAGCTCCCTCTTTCAAAATGCCACCCGTAGGCTTTTCTAGGAGCACCAGTTCTCAGAACGCAGCCCCAGACACGGCGCCACCACAGCAGGGACTTCAGAGCATCGCATGGGGGCGTGTTAGAAATGCAGGTGGTTCCTGTACTGCCCCCCACGCTACCCCCTTCCAGACATATGAATCTAAAACTTTGAACCCACAGGGCTTGTTGAAGAGAGGGGGTTCAGTCTCCAGAGATTGACAGTACCTCCTGAGGTTGAAGACATGCATATTTATGACTCAAAAATTGTGATCCTAGGTCTGTAACTTAAAGAAATTCTCACACATTGCTAAAGGAGAACTGTGCTAAATATACATTGAAACATCAACCAATGAATTAATAACAAAGTTGTATATCCATACTATTGAATACTTTGTACTGGTAAATAATGATCAACAAACTAAAACTATACATATTAGCTTCTCTTAAATATAATATGAAAAAAGGAGACCATCTATATAAAAATTTAAAACACACAACATACATTTATATATTGTTTATGGATGTATACTATGTAGCAAAAACAAAAAACATGTATGGAAATAGTGATTACCACTGAGGAGGCAGAAGGAATATGCAAGGAGCTTTGCTTGTATTTGTAATGTTTTATCCTTAAGGTAGAGGGTGAGTACTCGATCCTCATTATAGTATTCTCTATACATTTTAGTATGCCTGAAATATTTCATAATTTTTTTCTTTATGATCATATCTAGAACCTGAAGTGAGAAGACAGGACTCCCAGTACTAACAAGAACCTTTGATTTTTTGCCTCAGGACGGAGAAAGCTTCAAAGAGGAGGGGAGGAACAGTGTAATGGGAACTGTCAACCCGTTCAAATGCAGGGCGGTCAAAGTCAAAGCCACCACAAAGCCAGCCAGTGTTGAGCAGTACGTCTTATGTCCTCACCACAAAGTTGTCATTTCAGTTACGTTCCAGATGGTCCCAAAGCAATACCCATGAGGTCTCTGTCAGTTACTAGGAAATGTGTTACCACTTGATGTGTTTGCACTGAAGTGCCTCACAGGTTTCTGTACCATTCTCCCTCGATTGTTCCACCTGCACCAATGTGATACTGTTCCGAGAACAGAGGGAACCACAGACCTCCAGAGCACAAGCCAGAAGAATATCTGTAGGTTTAAAAGGATAATTGAAAGGTACATGAAACCCTCAGGTTGGTTACATGCTGGTTTATTCTCAAGAATCAGAAAGATCTAAATTCCACAGAGATTAGAAATCTTATCAAAAGAATTTCACCATGATAATAAAATTTACTTTGAACCCAACAAAATAATAAAAATAATTTTTAAAGCTTCAAAATGTAGTTAAATTAATTATATATTAGGTACAGAATGGGACAAAAATAGGGTTATAGCTATGAGCATGTGAAACTTTATTTTTATATTATTATTTATTATTATTGTATTATTTTTCATATGAACAACTGTAAACCTACTTTTGCTCCACCCTGTAAGGGGTTAAATGTGCTTATAATTAAGTCTTTGGAAATGTCACAGGAAGGTGTTTGGGCCATATAAATTGTAAAAAAAATGAATTCAAAGAAAAAATATGAAAACGTAAGAAAATTCGCCTTTTGTAGTTCCTTCTAATTTTATATTTATTTTGGGTTTATATTTCTTTTTTGTGTCTTGCTGTAGAGGAGTTATCCTGAAACAGTGAAATTTGCTACCATCTTGTTTATTGGCTGGGACGATGCCAGATATTCTGGAGAGCAAAGAGAAAAGCAACTGCTGACTATGCTTCTTTCTCACTTTCTGAACAGCCATCTTTTCACTTTGGTCAAAGCCATCGGCAAGGTGAAACTGAAAACTAACCCCAGACCTCTCTTTTCTCAAAACGTAGTGGAAGTAAACGCAGATGTCTCTAGAATCTTTCATGGTGTAACATCAAAACGCACCTCGTCCGATGCCTTCTCCCTATGTGCCCTGAAGCCACACAGCAATGCATCTGCTGCATCTAAAAATGGGGACGTTGCAGAACAAGGTCATTAAAAAGTGTAAGGAGATGAGTGGTTTACTGCTGTTGTTTTTAGAACAAGTCCCATAAGCTGTTGTGTCCTTATCAAACTGTCACTGCCAAGTTTCTCGATCGGGTCTGACGTGTGAGGTACACAAACCTGTCCCGTCCTGTCAGTGTGGCCTGTGCGGAAAAGGTGAGATAAATGCGGAATATTGTCCAACGTGCTGCGTAATCTTGGTGATAACCAGAAAGAAAACGGAGGTGTGAAGTGAGTTACCACTGAGGGCTGTATCAGCACAAGCAATTTGTATTTACGGGGTGTAGAGAAGTGAAGAGGGGTTGCATTCTTCGACACTGTCATTCACAAAAAGGGGCGGGGGGGGCAAGTCTGGTTTCTCTATGGCTTTGACTAAGTTCCAGCGACTTTGTACAGTTTATCAGGTGGCACCACTCTGCTTGCTAGAAAGCAGGTTTTCCTGTCCCTCTGTGTTTGATCCCCTTTCTTCTTTCAGTTTTTAATGAAGAGAAGTGAAGCAGGGGCCATTTTTTAGAGAAATTCTTTCTAATAAGAATTTGAAGATATTTGAATTCCAAGAAAAATAATCAAACGCTGAATTTTACTGGGGTGGGTATTAAAGTCTCCTGCTTATACAAAGAATACTCATTATTCCCCAAAACCCTCCTCGCTGAAGCCACTTGAATATCCCTCATGGGTTTGAGGAGTTTCATTAATCCCCAGGGAGAGCTGTTTTCAGTAGTGTAAAGGTAAACTAGCTCCCTAAAACACACGCAGACACACACGTACATGCGTACACACACACACACACAGAAAGACAAGCCCTGACGTGCAGCATCTGCCCGCTTCCATGCTGTCAGTGCTCCCTGTGGCTGGCTCCGAGCCCCCGAGGAGAGCCCCGGTGCACAGAACTGTGCTGGCACTGAAGAGCTCACGGAGGTTCTGACCTTGATCCGAAGTCACCATCTTCGAGCTTAGTTCCATTCCATGTGGTTCCTTAACACAATTGCTCAGTTCTAAGTGCTGGCGACTTCTGTACCTGACGTTTTTCACGACTAGTTTGTATGTCCAGATTCTCTGTTGACGGCATTTTCAAAGGTCCCAGCTCACACTGACTTTTCCCACTGCTAGTCTTTTCTTGTTTCAATTTTATGTCAACTCAAGAAGCAGCAAATCTCACAGGGGAAAAAAAAGAGGGAATGTAGGAAAGAAATGTAATTATAATTTCTTGAATTATAATGTACAAATTTATCATTTACCTTTTTTTTTAAAAAAAAAAAAGGCATTTTGGGTTAATGATAGAGAGCTCTACCTGGAGAAAAGACTGGTTTCTAAATAAAATGTGGTGGGAGTCTGGTCACTCTCTCCCACATCTGCTGGGAATTATCCCTTTAAGTTTAGGTCTTAGTATTAATTCATGTTACTTGATCAGCAAAGTACTGTTCGGAGGCTTTCTTCCCAGCACTTGTCAAAAAGAAGGTGTTCTTGGTCTTTTAGAAAAATTTTTCTCATTCTCATGATGCCAAAAAATGATATTGTTGCTGAAGTTCTGGCACGTCTTGATAATCAAGATGATTTTGAGAGCAGAAAACTCTTAAATAACTCTCCTGTTTATCTTCTGAAAAAATCTAGTTGGAGCTTTATTATAATATTCAAACGCTTGAATAACAATTTATTTGTTTTTTAACTTAAAAATTCATTTACGGTTGACATTCAGCATTATATTAGTTTCTGTCGTACAGCAGGGTGGTTAGACATACAGCTCACAAAGTGTTCCCCCCAAATAAGTCTAGTGTGCACCTGATGCCCTACATCATTACAATGGTACTGACCACATCCCTGTGCTGGACTTGCCTTCCTCGTGACTGTTTTGTGGCTGTCAATTTGTACTTCTTAATCCCTTCACCTTTTGCACCCAGACCCCTACCGCAACCATCACTCTGTCTTCTGTATCTAATAATAACAATGTATTGATATTTGAAATGAAGGGCATCGTGTATAAAAATAAATTACTTTAAAGCAGTACATTATAAATGACTATAAAGTAGTAACCATTTCGTGGCTGGTTCTCAATAGCTATGAGGAAACTTATGATTTGCGAGATTCCTCTTGTTTGGGTGAAATGTATAAATTATTCTTTAATTTGTACTTTTTTAAGCAAATGTTTTATTTAGGGTAACAGGAATATGATCATTTTGTCTGTGTTCTAAAGCTATACTATATTGTTGGCATAAGTGAATAATTGATTAAGAATAGGTACTATCTTCCCAAGCAATTAAAGAATTCAACAAGTGATATTTAAGGTAAAGTTAGACATGATACTGTGT